CAAAAAAATGCAGGTGCTGGAGCCCAGGGAGGGAGAGAGCGAGGGAGAGAGAAAAGCCAAACTAGTCCCTTTAACTTTCTAAAGACTTTTCAGCATTTGTTCTGCACACTTACCTACGCAAACTCCAAGGGGCCACAGTGACTGGGGTCCCATTTCAGGCCCAGCGTGGAGCCGGAGAGCTCCTCAGCTGTAAAATGAGAGCGCCGGAGCGCAGTGTGAAAATGGATTAGCCTCGCTGAGATAAGGGGAGCCCTCAGCGAGCCATGCACGCCTTCAATGGGGAAAAAGAACTGCTGTACAAATTGTTTTTGGTACATTAAGTACCTGTTACTTTATTTCACAGATGGAAAACAATAACACAGGCTCTAGGGTTGGAACCACTGTGGAATGTGAGAGGTTTGGCTCACCTAGCGCCCTCGGAGGTGTCCCCGTTTTCTTAATATGCAGAGTGATCTTTGCATGGGACTGCCGACCAAAAGAATTCAGCAGATTGACAAACACAGCATATGATGATAAATGACAAAGTGCCAGGTTGGTCGCCAACAGCCTACTCGGCGAAATAATGCGGAATATCCATGTAAAAAATAAAATAAAATAGACTGAATGTTCCCACTCAGCAAACAGGGCAGGGATTTTTCATTAATAGTCCCGCTGTTGCACCAGGGCCTCCCAAATTAAATGAGTGTGTCAGATCCTGGATGATTTATACATTTGGACTGATCTAACAGCTCTGTGGAACAGCTATGACACCCTGACAAGCCAACAATGGATATGAAAAATGAGCCAATACCACCGCTCTAAATCTGAGACTTTCAAAGCCAAATGCACACGCAGAATCGAAACCTCTAACATACTCAAAGTATAATGAAAATAAAGCAGAAGGGGAAAAAAATCCCCATAAGATTCTCGGCACAATTTTAGCTAAATCATTCAGTGTTTATATAAATGGAGTGATGGAGACAAATTGGTCCGAGTGGAGTGTGGCAGTACTTTGCTTTTCTGATGTCTTTTTGTGGCTGCGTGCAGAGCACATCACTTTACAGCTAAATGAGATATCAGGCCTATTGCTGAGCTTTGACTCTGTAGCAAAATGTCAAATTGAGTTAGCATTAAGGAATATTTGAAAATATTCTCTTTTTTTATCAATTAAAACAGAAGTAATTTATTTCTTTTTAATAGCTTTATTCTAAGAAAACACTGTATGTGCTCTACTGACTGCAGAAAGCAACGCCAACTCCCCGTCAGTGGCAAAAGCTGTGTTCATAATTATTTTGTGTGGAAGGCTAGTGGCCTTCCTAACTTGCTAGATGAAGTGATAAAAACCAACATGATGGACTAAAGCATTTTTGCTTTTCCTAGTATTGTCCTTTTACCCTCTCATTCTCTGTCTGATGAAAAACTGCACTTGGTGTTCCTCAGAGCTCAGCAGATTTAGAGGAAACAATTACCAGTCCGGTGATCTCTGCTTCTCCAGTCCCACCGATAAACACCCAGAGCCCTGAGGTACGGTCGGAAAATGATACAGTTTTAAACGGGTTAAATTTCATTGTCCCCCCCCCCCTCTCTTCTCCTCATTTCTCCCCTCCTTCTCTCCCTTAGAGGTTTTATTTCACAAAAGTGTGAACACATTTTTTTGTTGATGGGGTGAAAAAAAGAGTGAGAAACGATAAAGAATATGAAAAGCCCATCTTCACAGAACATTAGACATCGCAAAACAACCCTAAGCTATGACTGGATATATCAAAACTGACAAGTAAAAGTTGATTGCTGCGTGTCTATTGATTGAGCTATATTTCAGTGGAAGACTATAGCCTCGTGGTTGTCTTCACAATGAACCAAATCCTGCTACCAAACATTGGCTGCAAAACCCCCTTTAGTGACCAGAGAATAGGAAATAGTCAGTATGCTGTAGCTGTTAAATATTATTTGCAGCTATAACATTTTTTATTTCTTTTTTGGGGGGATACAGAGAATTGTTGGCATCGTATGGCATCCACAATTGTCAGAAGTAAACCTTTAAGATTCCATGAAAATTTGTCTTTGGACCCAAAATTGCTGTCCCTCGAAGGCCCCTGCACGTGTTGAGACACGATGTACCCCGTCTTTCGCCCTTTGAGAGCTTCGATAGGCTTCAGCGTCTCTGCAATCCTGAATTGAACCCAGTTTTGTTTTGGTCAAGTGAATATATAGATGTATGAATGGATCAGTGGATGAATGGTTTGACAGACTTCTCTCAAACTCCAACAACGTCTAAAAGAGACTCAGTAAGACAGGAAAAATGGGTTTTAGACTATTGCAGGACTCATCAACGTTTCTCTTAATGTGGAAAACCTGGACGGGTGTATGTTAAACCTAACCAAGTCGTATTGGTGCATAAAGAGCAACTAAAAATAAAAAGTCAAATACAAAAGTAAAGTCAAAATCTAAAAAAAACATCGTACACGGATTCCTTTTGATACCCAAAGAGAAGGGTAATGAGGACGGATTCAACCTGCTGTAGGGGTAAGTGGTTAAGATTATGGAGTGATGCTTTACGGTTGTTGAAATCAAAGGTAAGACAAACAGTTTATTGGAAGGCATAGCAACAACTGGACGATAGGAAGAACAGTGTGCTTAGTTATGACAAGCGTGCAGACATATAAGTGTCTTTATCCCCGACAAGGAAAGGGAAATTGAGGGAAACTGAAATAGAAAAATAGGACAGATGCTCACAGAGAGTGAAAAACTTGAGCTGTAAAGAAGGCCAAGTGTACCAAACAGAGCGCAACCCAGGAGTGATTGAATGATCCCATTCTGGCCTCTTTGTTAGACACTAGGCAGCGATGTATGAAGATTGATACACAAGTGCTCGACTCGGTTTGCTGGATCATCAAACGGATTGATATTATACTCCAGCCAAGGATGAAGACAAAGTAAGTGTTATCATACTCAATACTGGGGCTTGTCAGAGGCGGGAAATCATCTCGTGTCACTGGTTATGGGAGCATTTCACAGACTGTCTTGAGAATTTATCTAGGAGATGTGATGCTCTATGGCAGACTGCAGCTGACGGTGGAAGCCCCGGCTGCACCGTAAAGATCTTCACTAAAGATTGAATTACAGCGTTGCGCTTTAGAATGCATTTATTTCACTGCTATCATGTTTGTCCCCACAGACACTGTAAATCCCCCTTCCTCTTATCAAGTAGCCATTTATTGTTGTCAAATAACATTATTCACGGCTGTATCATTACTTAGATAACGTACGCATTAGAGCAAATGATTTGTTTATCTGCTGTACAAGTTCTACATTACTCCTGAGATTTCTCTAGGCTCCTCATTATTCTGTAGTCCTGGGATCAGTCAGTACAAAGTGAAAATGTGGATGTTTGACGGGTCTATTCGGGCACAACATGTTACTTTTCAGTGCCATTTATGAAATGAATACCTTGTTAGATGTGAAGAATTATACGCTTATGATTTTGAACCAGTTTGATTCCGTTAAAGTTCGAGGCAATCGAATTCTCTGTTCCTTTGATCGACAGCTTTGATTAGTAATTACGCACGTAGTGTCTTTCAAAGTGTGACATCTTTATTTCCCCTCCTTAGAAGGCAATTCAATCATCTTTTTATAAATCCGACAGACTTAAAAGTCACCATATGTGATTGAGTTAATTCGAGGGCTTTAATTATATTCCACTTACCATTGCCCTTTTACATTTACCAAGCAAGATTTTTTTAATCATTTACATCATTACATTAGATATTGTTAGAGCTGATGTTTCAATCTAAACAACATTCATTCTGTGTAGAAAAAGTCCTTTAACTTAATTGCAGTGATGAAAGAAGCACTACGACTACACATATTGTGTTTTGTGCCATCTTATAAATAATTTTTGTATGGTTTGGAATTTTGTGCTTTATTCTTTTGTTGAATTTGTGTTATCATATCCTGTGGCAGACCTCGTCTTACAGTTGCTTCTCCAGTGAGTCCAACAACTGTAGCCTAAATGCAACAGTAGTCCCCGTTCTTCTCTACAGCCTTGCAGAACTTACCATGTTGGTGCAGGAACTAGTTCCCCACCTGCTGGACTTTCTGGCCGGTTCAACTAACTCTGTACAAGTTTAAGAGTGCTAAATTCCGGATGAAGATCTATCGTTCTTGTGATTACATAAATACTGAGGAAATCGTGTTATACTAAGGGCTGTTTACATTAATAAGTGAAAAAACAAGTAAAATAAACATCATTTCAGTCATTAAAAACCTCGGTAAAAGCACTAATTTGTAAATGAACGAATGCGTGAGCTGTGTAGAGATGGCACTGATTCCCTGTTTAAGTGTCCAACTCCAGTCTGCACATTAATACCAGAAGCTTCCTGATGCTGTTTTCTTAAGAGCTGGAGACACCAGGCAGTATAACCGTGTGTCTCTGTCTACAGAGAAGTTTTATGCACACTGTAAAGCTGTCATTCATGTTGTTGCATACAGTGCCTTCAACATGTCGCCAGGCTCAGTAAAAGCCATGTATGGGAAAGACTGCAGGCCATGGCACTTATGGATATTTCTCTTTACATACATCATTTTTACATGTAGACACTGGCTGTGAGGCAACCTGTCAAAGAGACTTGCTGCTTTTCCTCTTCATATTGAAATTCCAAAGGTCATTGTACTTCTGCTTGTATATATCATTTCTATTGTTATAGGATAAAGTTAAACTGCAGTTAGGCCATCTTTGCACAAAGGCAGACATATGCACTTCATCTAGTAGAAGTGGTTTGCTTTAGCCAAGAGGTACTTGCTATGATTTGGTCCTGTTAAGCCGTTGACGCTGAAGATACAATTATCACTGTTGGAAAAGCAGTGCGTGTGTTTCTATGTGTGCGTGTGTGTGTGTATATGTGTGTTCATTGTATAGAGATGTCTGGTGGTGATGGTGTTCTAGCTATGAGTTAAGGGCTTCATCAAAATAAAAACTTTTCCAGCATCAAAAAGCTACAGCACATGATCCATCTCCCTTTTTAGCTGCTGTCAGGACCAGTTTATGTGACGATGATGTGATGTTTGGGTAGTTCATTCTGATCTAACTCCCTCAGAATGAACTATGATAGTTATGGATTTTGGATTGCTGATGGGCTCAAGCCATTAAAAAAACAACAATATAACAATGTGCTATGAGAACACAGTGACAAATCTGTTGCATTTACCCATGTTCTTTTACAAGGCTCATATTACTTAGGAAGACACAGCTGTAAACGATAAAGATGGTATAGTATTTATTGAGTGTCCAAAATGAGTGGGAAATTTATGCATGCAATTAACACAAACTAAAAGTTCTACGATACAATGCTGTGTAATTTGTAGAACCAAATTAGCTTTGCATGACATGACACCTGTCAGTAAGGACAAAAAAATCACATACACCTTCATAATGACAGTTTGCTGCTCACAGCAGATTAAATTATTATGCAAAATAGGTAAGGCAGCAAATGACTGGACAAGAAAATGATTTCAGACAAAGACCAGATGCTTGCAAATAATAATAATGCTGTGCATTATTCCCACTAACAACTGTGCTCTGTCTTAAACTATATCTAAAAGATGGATGTAGCCACTGTGCTTTCACCAGTCATCTTGTCACCTTGTGTTGAAGCCTTTATTTTAGCATTTAGGCTAAATTGATTGCATTTACACAGAAGGCGGGGGTGTGCTATGTTATTAGCTAACCAGCAAGCATGGTTAGCAGGGAGTGCAAGAGCACTGTCTAACATGTTCATAAAAACAATACCAGAGTACCACTAACCAAGAATGGAGACAGTTTAATTACAAATCACATTATTGAAGTTTAAAACAAAAACCCACTGCAAACAAGGTAGCGAGGTCATGCTGAATGTTTAAAAGAAGCTGAGATAACGCCTAGCGGGCAGCTAGCTAGCTAGCAGCCTCACTGGCTCTTAATTATTATTATTTACTTACTTTAAAACTATCTGTTTATTTTATTGTGTACTCTTCTACCTTTTATTTTATATTACGGCATTTAATATTCTCCTTTACTTTATTATTTTTTTAATAGCAACTTAGGAATGGCAGAGCAAAACTTTTTCAGACTAAACTAAACTTCAGTGCTTGGATTTGTCTTTTAAGGGTGTAAAAGTCTACACCTTAGAACCATATACTGGAAAATTATATATAGGAACTGATCAGGGCTTTGGATAATCCTTCTGAGATGTTTAGAGAATCACTGGTTTCTGCGACAAATGCTGTAATCTTCTCCTACTGCACTTTTGTGCTGCAAATGAACAGAATCCTCAAAACACAATGCTGTTATGATCATAAAAGCTGTAAATCTACAGTACTGTCCAATTAAACGTATCGTTTAAACAGTGTCAGTGTGTTGTGTTTGTGATAGGCTGTGTAATAGTGTAATAACTCCGTCCCCTGTAAGCTGGCCAGGGAGGCTGTGTGTAAATGAGACGGTTCTGCTACATTAGCTTCATAACACCATAATCCCTTCTCCATAAACCATTGCATGCGCTGCAACATTTCTGATTTATGGGGGGTAGAGAATCAATGGGAAAAAATTAATGCTCGCGAAACGTCCCAGGGACAATACTGAGCAGATTTTAATTGTGATTTCATTCAGGCGGCTGTTAGCGAGATGATGAATGGGAGCTAACCTTCCACTCTGCCGAGCACTGGAAAGAGTCTTTAATATGACAATTAAGTGTCTGTCTTTTAGATTTTATTGTATCTTCCTCTCTTTATCTTGTGAGCTACTCTGTCCTCCCTCCTGCTTTTCTTCTTTCTTCCCACCCACTCTCCTTTAGCCGCTTCCTATCTTTCTCCCTCTTGACATCGCTTCATCTGTACAGTGCAGCTTTTGCACAGATTAAATTGAGACTCCAGTTTTCTCCATCTCAGAGCACTTACTTATGTTTTATGACACGCACTAAATCAATTTTATGTTGTTATTGATTTTTTTCCCACTCCTCCTATTACCCTCTTGCTTAAATCGACACAAACCATTTTGCCTTTTGCTCCCAGATTCTTCCCACTCTTGTTCTGTGGTGACCTTATGTGTACTAGCAAGACATCTGAGGGTGGAAAACTGTGTCCCTCTGTGGAAAGAAAGCAGTGCATTTATTGATACTGATATAAAACGAAAGGATATAACTAGAACTTTGCTTGCATTTAAGAATTTAAACACATAACCGCCCCCTTTTGTTCTCCAGTGTAGCATTACTGAAAATAGCAGTAAAGCATGCAGCAGACTTTGTTGCAATACCCCACTACACTAACAGGATGGAGGCTTTTGTAGTTTTAGTGGATGGCAAATCAACTCAGTTGTTTTAATTGGTTTTTCAAGTAAAAGACAGCATGGTTTATAGGGATTTTTAATTTCACCTTCATCATTACGAGTGACAATGCCTCTGGCACAATGCAAGCAGTCTCTTCCAACTTTGTATTTATTCACAAGTGCCCCTGCAAACTGAGCCAAAAAGACTGAAGGCCAACTTTTTCAGTAATTGAGTGAAAATGTAACCAAATAGAAATTAACAAATAGAGTAAAAACAGAAGTGAATACAATCAGCAGGCAACAATAATAACAAAGAAAAATTGAAATGGAAAATAATGAAAAGTAAATTTAAAGAGGGATATGTTTTAGCAGCAGCAGCTCCATTTAGGCTTTATTTTTTCTGTTTTCTTATGTGGTGATTTAGAAGGACCAACTGGTGCTGGAGCAGGGGTTAAATGCAGGAGGAGCTAGCTTGGTCTCAATCAATTTGTCCCTGTCTTTTGGCAGGTGCCCAGGCTTTGCTGTGTCCCAGTCCACCAGTGTTGGCTCCATCAGGGCTCCCAGAAAAGGCCTAAGAAGCAGCATCAATGTGACCATTTAGAGTGCGATCTGTGCAGATGCAGTAGGAAGGTCAGGCCATTGTGTGGCCCCCCTCCCTAGCGCCTTTCACTTCACCCTCCAGAACGCCGTCCACATCAAAGTTGTTATTGAGACCCCTCAATCGGAAATCCTGGTTTGGCAGGGAAGCAAGGTCTTTAAGAAAAGAATGACGGCCTTGACATAACATGGGCAACTAAATCAACGCACCAGCAGCCAAAAAGAAAGATTAATACTCATAGGCCTCTTTACACCTGTGCCCAAATATCTCTCATATTTAGTCTAGGTTTGGTTTACACCTGATCTTTACAAGTTTTCAAAATGTAAAAAATAAAACTCTAATTTTCTCTTAAAAGACATGAGAATTCCAAAAAAAAAATTGGGGAACATACTGTCCTATGTTCAGCTATAAATTCATTTATGGATTATTTTAAAATGAGTATGATGTGCAGATTTATTTTTTAACACTTACAGTCTATTTAAGATCTTACCATGTGCCTCTTTTTATAAGTTGGCTGGTAATTTTATTACACATAGATTCCTAATATTGTTTTTGTTCTGAATAAAGTAGTTGACAAGAGAAAATGACATAAATAAAATTTTGCTGCTATACTTTGCCATTATACTTGGTTGCTATGGTTTACATACAACATAATCTAGCTAACATGCAGGAAAGTTTGTATATTGTTAAAAACTTAAATCTGTGTAGCTCAGACAATTCTATTAGTTTTACAATCTTAAAGGGGCGAAATGTAGCTATTTTCATATTAATGCTAGCTAACATTAAATTAACGCTAACTACCTGCCAGCTGACATTAGTTCACCAAACCTTGACTGAACTCAGGGCTCATTTGACACTTAATGTAATGCTGTAATTAGTTGTGGAAACATAGCTTCATCATATCTTTCACTTTGCAACCTCAGATGAATAAACACTTTATGGGGACATATTTGTTGTAATCTACTTGTAAGTAGTTACATGACACCAGCTCTGATGCAAGCTGAACAGATTCATCAAGATGTTTTGATTTTGTTATGTGTGATTACTGCAGATTTTTTTTAATCAGTCTTTATTTTGAGATGTTTGAACACTCTTGGGTCCCCCTGCTGGTGGGTGTGTGTGTGTGTGTGTGTGTGTGTGTGTGTGTGTGTGTGTGTGTGTGTGTGTGTGTGTG